CCTACCACCATGGGTCATTCCTCTTTAGATTTTGCTACAAATAAAGGTTGTGATGTGAGAAACCAAGAGTAGACTCCTTTCTCCCTCCTTCAAAGTTAGCCATCAGAAATGTCCTCTGTATACACATTTCTACCATGCATAATATAAAACCTTACAGAACAAGGTTATAAATGTAAAACAGCAAAATGCATACAGAGTGTTTGTCAACCTGTGGGAGGAAGGCGTTGCCTCCTTGAGCCCTTGGCAGTTAACTAGGGAGGAGGTAGACAGGTAGGGATGTGCAGCAGTGAGGAGGCCCAGAAGATTCCTGATGATGGCACAGACTCAGGAACTAGACTCTCAGACTCAATCCTCAGCCTGTTACTTAGCTGTGCTTGCACTTAGCGCTGCTTTCTCCTTGTGCCAGCTTTTTCATGTGTAGAAAGAGAATAAAACAGTATCTGGAAAGGGAGGACAGTAATGGTATGAGTTAATATATGTGTAGTGCACAGATCAGGGCTTGACACACAGCAGGCTCATTGGTGTAAGTCATTACTGATACAAGTCCACAGCAGACAAGTGCACTGTGAATGCTACTTCAAAGTAATGCAGTTATACAAGTAAGTTCTACTTTTCTCTTTACCCAGGAATGCACAGTTAGGTAATTTGCTGCATAATATAAATCATCATTAAAAAAAACACACCCTAAGTATAAAAACAAAGAAATACTCCAGTTGATTAAATGTTTATTTTGGGTAATGTCAGTTGTGATGTTTCTATGCTACCAAGAATGTTGTATACCTAAACACCCCAATTTCCTTTTTAGATGCCCTCACATCTTTTTTATTTCATTTCATTTATTTATTCATTCCTTCCATGAGCATGAGCATCTACTGGGCACAGGGCACTGGACAAAACAGACATGGTCACAGACATACACAGATGCCTGTGACATTGAGTGAGAGGTGCTCTGGAAGAGGCACCAAGGAGGGAAATGCACTTCTGTTTGGGGGAGGTCATGGATGTGGACAACTTCCCATAAGAGGAAACAGGTGAGCTGTGTGGGAATATGCCTGATAGGAAGGACAGGAAGATGTTCTAGATGGAGGGAGGGAATGGTGCCTGTAAGGTCTAAAGGCAGGAAGCAGCAAAACAGATGGAAAGAGTTGGCTGTTGAGTTGCGCAGCAGCACAGAGCATAGAGTGCGCATGGGTGGAAATGAAGCTGCAGGCATAGGCAGGAGGCAGGTCTGCAACCTTGAACCAAGAGTAAGAACTGTCACTGAATTGACATCTCAGAGTGAAACCACCATCCTCTGACCCCTTGACAGGCCTGCATGATCGGGCCCAATCCAGGACTCTGCTGCGCACTGGGCTCCCCTGTCTTGGGCAGATCAGACAGGCCAGGTCTGCTTCTGCTCTAGGGCCTTGGCTTGAGCCACTGACTCTGCCTGACACACTCTCCCACGAGGTGGCTGGGTCAGCTCACTCACTTACCTCACCTCTTGGCTCAAATCGCACTTTCTCATTGAGCTCTATCTTCAGTGTTCCTAATGAATGCTGCCACTGGCCTGCCTCACCCAGTGTACCGGTGGTCCCTCTTTTCCTGCTGACTTCTTGTTTACATAACCCTTATCTTCCAACATACATGTAATTGACCTTTCATTGTTCATCATACATTTCCCCACCAAAATGTAAGCTCCCAGAGGCAGGAAGGGATCTTTGATGGTCCTGGCACATGGACATGCTCAATAAATATTGACTGAACGAATGACCAAATACCTTTGGATTGTTTTTAGGGAACTTCAACTCTGGATGAGAAATAAGAAGCAGAGGGGAGGGAAGGGAAGCTAGAAAGGCAATTCAGACATATGGTTTTATTTTCTTTATTGATTAAGGTATTACATATGTGTCCTTATCCCCCCATTGCCCCCCAGCCCTCCCACTCATGCCCTCACCCCCCTAGTGTCTATGTCCATTGGTTAGGCTTATATGCATGCACACAAGTCCTTTAGTTGATCTCTCCCCCTTACCCCCACCCTCCCCTACCTTCCCTCTGAGGTTTGATGGTCTGGTCAATGCTTCTCTGTCTCTGGATCTGTTTCTGTTCATCAGTTTATGTTGTTCATTATATTCCATAAATGAGTGAGATCATATGATATTTATCTTTCTCTGACTGGCTTATTTCACTTAGCATAATGCTCTCCAGTTCCATCCATGCCGTTGCAAATGGTAAGAATGCCTTATTTTTTTACAGCAGCATAGTATTCCATTGTATAGATGTACCACATTTTTTAATCCACTCATCTGTTGATGGGCACATAGGCTGTTTCCAAATCTAAGCTATGGTGAATTGTGCTGCTATGAACATAGGGGTGCATATATCCTTTCTGATTGGTGTTTCTAGTTTCTTGGAATATATTCCTAGAAATATGATCCCACTTGGTCAAATGGGAGTTCCATTTTTAGTTTTTTGAGGAAACTCTATACTGTTTTCCACAGTGTTTGCACCAGTTTGCATTCCCACCAGCAGAGCACGAGGGTTCCTTTTTCTCCGCATCCTTGCCTGCACTTGTTTGTTGATTTGTTGATGATAACCATCCTGACAGGTGTGAGATGGTACCGCATTGTTATTTTGATTTGCATCTCTCAAATGATTAGTGACTTTGATCATGTTTTCATGTGTCTCTTGGCCTTCTGTATGTCCTCTTTCGAAAAGTATCTATTTAGGTCCGTTGCCCATTTTTTGATTGGGTTGTTTATCTTCCTTTTGTTAAGTTGTATGAGTCAGACATATGTTCTTGTTCTTCAATATTATCTCATTTATGTATTCTCCCCGTCAGTCCAATCAATAGTGTGAATACTTCTTCCTGCTTTAGATCTTTCATAAAAGAGGTTAGGAATGTCAATGTTATACAAAGCTACAAATATATGCATGACCACCTTGGGATACAAAGCTCTTTTTGTTGATTTCTTTCTCCTCTACCACACTATCCTCACTTCCCCTTCTTTTGCCTCTTCCACTGCCAGCTTCTAGAGCAAGCAGGGGGCCCTGGGCTTGCAAATGCCAAGCTCCTGTTGTCCAGATTCTGTCTCAGGATTAGCACTTATTGACTGGTCTTCTGATGTGGGTTCCGCATCTCTTAATCCCGATGCACATCCCACACTGGACTGTCTCATGGTCCAAGACCCTCCACACTCTTTGACCAGGGGTACCCAAGATCTTGATACTCTGGTTTCCCTTCTTGTTTCCCACTTCCTGGTTATGACAGTACTTCTCTTGCTATTCCGTAAGTCAGCTCCATCCTTCCTCTGGGCTGAGCTTTCTTCAAAGGCCTGCCCTCGCATCCTTACTGATGATCAAATGACTAACTTGTTTCTCTGTTGTGGTGAACTTCTTTTGTGAAAACTTTTCCTCTTGTGAAAATGGACATTTCTTATATCTGTCTGAAATGTTCTGCTGATTTTTACCTCCAGGCGTGCCAGTTTTCCTCTCCCCACTCTCCCCATCTGTGAGCAATAGCCACAGCAGATGCCTCCATCCTTTGTGCTTATCTTTGTTGCTCTTGCCTTTGGGGAATCCATCCCTCCTTGTCATTTCAACTAACACTTCTGCTCAGGACTCCTCTCCATTTATGCAGAAATGCTGTCCACATTCTTCATGACTATTCCCATGAGATTGAAGTGCCATGATTTGATTCCATGAATGTGTCCAACTTTTCACTTTCTTCTTAAGTGTCTTATTCTTCTCCATGGCTGTAATCCTTATCATTACCTGGGTTGTACACCTTGGAGTCATTTTACATAATTTCTCTTCACACCTCTCCATATTTATTTTTAAAAATCCTTTTTTATCTGTTGGTTTCTTTAAAAAAATATTACCATCATTGCCACACTGCCTCGAGTTCTCATTTATAGCCCAATGTTGTTACCACAGCACAGTATTTGAGTTTTGCTTCCTACCAATCTGGCTCATATGCAATTGCATGATTAATCTTTCTGAAATGTTTTCTCCTGATCCAAATTATCGGTGACTGTTTTCTAAGATCTCAGCTCCATATTTCCCCGCCTTCCATTTTCTCTCCTACTAACTTTTGTTTCAACATCTCTCCATCCTGTGACCTGATCTCCTCTTTCTACAAACTCATACTTACTCCTTCTCATCTTTAGTCTGTCTTCATTTATCCCCAAATTTATTTTCTAAATTGTTATAATGTGCTCATTTTCTTTCTACATGGAATGCTGCACACTTTCTTCTCCATATCTAGTGATGAGGATGCTTATAACAATTGCTCATGTTTTTAAGGGCTTTCTCTGTATAAGACCCTGAGCCAAGTGTTTTAAACACATTACATTTATTCCTCATAAGCTCAGCAAGTTAGAGACGATTATTATACCCATTTCACAGATGAGGAAATGGGAACTTGGAGGGGCAAGGCCCCCACTGGAGTTCTGTGCTACTTTTAAGATGAGCGATACAGAGGAACAGGCACAGGCTTGCAGATCTGAACTCAGTTCTGACTCGGTCACATCCTAGCTGGGAGAATCAGGTTAGTGATTGCGTCTCTCTGAGCCTGAGCGGACTTACTTAATAAATGAGGACTAAATGAGTACAAGGCCCTGCCATAGAACATTTAACGAATATTGTTCTCTTTCCTTTCTCTTCAGTGTCATCGCTTCCATTGACAACCTTATTTGACACGTCAAACCCTCACTAATTCCATTGCCCTCTATATTTTTGTAGCAATTTCAATTTGCCTACTTAATTTATGACTTATTTATGACCTGCCTTCATTCTTGCCTTCCTGGTTAGATTTTAAGAGCACGGGCATTTTAATTCTCCATTTTTCATCCTCCTCAACATAGTAATGAACACAGAATAAATGCTCAATTTTTACTTCCTAATTGACATATCTACTTAGCTTGATCCAGCGATACTTGATGCTGTCACCACACAGTTGCATGTATCCTGTTAGCCTACCTTATTAGCTCATTTTTTCTCTTCTCTCTCTCCACCCACAGCATGTGCATTCCGGTACAATGGACTCTCCTTCGTCTACCTCATCTACCTCTTGCTCATCCCTCTGTTTTCAGAACCAACAAGAGCGACAATGCAAGGTAAGAGACAGTTACTGTTCTGAATGCATTTGCTGACTCTGCTGGGCTGTCTTTATCTGATGGGATAGACGCTGCCTGTGCAGCAAGCTGGTCCAGTGGAGACTGGGTGTCACACATGTGAACAGCTGCACCAAGCAGAGTGGTGCGGAACATGTTGATACATGTCACTTAAGTACACCACTAATATCCCCATGCAAGTTTCATATTAACTCCCTCTTAGTAGGCTTGCAGTACATCTGGAATGTTTTGGCTAGTTAAGATGAACTCAATACATTGTCAATGAAATAAGGCAGATGGTGTGACAAAATTGGCACATGCTTTGCATATTGGACTGCTGGAGAGAATGTGGCGGCAAGTAGAAAAGGGGCAGCGAGGTACCTTACATTTCTAAGCTGCCAACAGGAGGACTGGATGAGAAACTGAGTCCTAGTCATGACTTGTTCACACATCAGTTGAGATCTCTTACATATGCCTCTATCCAGTACTGTGAGTGAGTGATTTGAGTTTGAGGAATAGTTTCGCAAGCATTTTACCATAAAACTTTAGGTTTCTTTCCCATTGCTCTACAAGAACCTGAAGTTATAGAAAAGAACAATGACATTTCTCCTGAGGCTCTGATTAGGAAGCATGATCTGGTTTCTCAGTTTATATATTTGAAGTTCGTCCACAAATATTAAAATTAAATCACACTGAGTTAATTTATAAATTGCTTTTCAAAACAATACCATTATAAGAAATAAGGGTTGTGCCAAATGCCTTAGGTGAGTATGATGGCTGTATGTTTACATGAGAGGAAAAGGAAGCTGTTTGGCCCAACCTGTGATGTGGTTGGAAAAGGCCATGGGTTAAGGCTGCCAGTTCACAGTGGTGCCTCTTCAGGAAAAAAGTAAGGGCTGGGGGAAAATAATAGGTACCTTTTCCATTCCTCCCCTTAACAATTACATTTACAGTGCATATTATGACCATTCATCCTAATAGTTGTGACTGCAGATGCTATGTTGATTTTCCTGCCACAGGAAGAATTTAAATAATAGTCTTCTAAGTCACTTAAATCCTTAATACACAAAGTTAAGAAGGGGTCCAGAAATGTGAGTGTATACAAATCCTCATTCAAACCAAAAATACGTTGTTTATGTGACTGCACCCACCTTAGCCTCTTTCCTAGAGTTCAGTATAAACAAAGACCTTTAAACAGAATAGCTTCTGGCCTCAGAACCAAGATGAAATACACAGGCTACTCCTAGTTCATGGCCAGGAGCTCATGTTTCAAAGAAAGAAGGCTTCAGACACATTCGGAATAAACCGCTTTAGAAAGGAGTACCTGTATATAGTCCAATAAAGTACCTATTGCTTATATATCAAGGTGTCTGTCTCCTTATCGTTTCATCTGGAAATCGGGTAACTGAGATTTCCCCCTTCATCATTATGTGACAATGACTGCTTTGCCTTCTTCCTAAATAACCAGCCCTGCTCTTGCCTCAGTCTTGGTAGGGGTGGCATTGCAACTGTGTCACAGCTGCATGCCAGTGGTCCCATCCTTTATGCCCACATGCATCAGGGACTGGCCCTGTCAGGAAGCTCATACTCAAAATGTAAGATCAAATGCAAAAACAGCAACTCCTCTCTGTGTAAAGCAATATCCTGAATTAACAAGATGTCATGCGATTAGTGCACAAGCGAAGCATAATAAGTACACAGACGTCTGCTGGAGCTGCTCCTAAGAGGAGACCAAGGAAGAACTGAGCTCAAAAGGAAAACAAACCCACAGGCATCTTTTCCACAGGTTACTATCTGGATGCAGTGTTGTGATTATTTATTTTCTTCTTTCCTGCATGTTAATAAGAAGCATGACTAATATTCAACATAGCCTCATTGATTTGTTTGTTTACGGAAATGCAGAGGGACTCTAGGAAAGGATGTCCCCCCATTTATTTCTGGTCACCTGGGAAGCACAAGCCCTGTGTTTTGAAATATCCCATGTTGGGCGTTTCTGGCAGCGTGTGGTCAAGAACACCATTAATGCCTATGTGGAGTGGACCATACCATGCCAGGCCCGGGGAGTGACTGCAATGCAGCTCCGCAGGGACTTGAACTCTCCAATTCATGTTCCCACACATTTCCCACGAATCAATGGGAAGTGCATTGGCAACCTGAAAAGAACTGTTAGTAACCTCTGCACCACCTTCTCACAGACAGTCTCTGCCTGGCAACAGCAAGCAAATTCAGATTCCCCGCCCCCCCACCCCCCGCAGCTGCTCAGGCCTCTGTGCATGTCCACAGGACTATGTCCATGACACAGACTCCCCCTGAACCTGATGCATGGTGCACGGACCTGAAAGTTTACTATGTGATCCTCTGGTCTCCATTTGATCTGTTGGAATTCTCCCCCTAAAAGTATTTTTCCCCAAAAGTATATCCACAGGGGCCCCAGCAGGTGGGGAGTTCAGTGTCCTGGCTGAGAGGGTGGTCTTTGTTGTAGTTCTTAAAGTGGCCTGGGTGTGAAAGCCATCTCTGCACTGTGGTTGTTTAGGGATGTGCACAGGGGTGTCCACAGGGGTGTGCACAGGGGTGTCCACAGGGGTGTGCACAGGGATGTGCACAGGGGTGTGCACAGGGGTGTGCACAGGGGTGTGCACAGGGGTGTCCACAGGGATGTGCACAGGGGTGTCCACAGGGGTGTGCACAGGGGTGTCCACAGGGATGTGCACAGGGGTGTCCACAAGGATGTGCACAGGGGTGTGCACAGGGGTGTCCACAAGGATGTGCACAGGGGTGTCCATAGGGATGTGCACAGGGGGGTCCACAGGGATGTGCACAGGGGTGTCCACAAGGATGTGCACAGGGGTGTCCATAGGGATGTGCACAGGGGTGTCCACAAGGATGTGCACAGGGGTGTCCACAGGGATGTGCACAGGGGTGTCCACAAGGATGTGCACAGGGGTGTCCATAGGGATGTGCACAGGGGTGTCCACAAGGATGTGCACAGGGGTGTCCATAGGGATGTGCACAGGGGGGTCCACAGGGATGTGCCTAGCGGTGTCCACAGGGGTGTGCACAGGGGTGTCCACAGGGCCCCCATCAGGACATAGATCATCCAAGTGTGCCTGAGGCTTTCCCCACGCCTGTGACTAGACACAGATTTGCTGTCAGACTGGAAACAACCTTGTGGGAGATGGAGGAAGATCAGGAGATGTTAGTTATACATAGACATGTTACTAAGTTTAAAAAAGGAATTTGAGTGAGGACAATTGTTTGGGAGGTTCAATACACTTAACTTACTTGCGGGTGTCTTCTGAATTGCTGAATTTGAGAGTTGGAGGAGCTTTTAGGAATTACTAAGCATATTCCAGCACCCAGCGGTGGAGTCCCTTCCCAGCATCCAAGTTGGCTGCCTGTGCAGGCTCTCCACCCACTGGCTATGACTCCCCTTGATCTCCTTGCTCTAATGCTGACCTTTCCCATAGTCTTTCTTAGGCCAAATGACTTTAAGTTGGCTCTAGAATGTTATTCTCTCTTTCTCTCTTCTCTCTGTGTCTGTGTCTGTCTCTGTGTCTGTCTGTCTCTCTCTCACACACACACACGGGCACACACTCACGGCATGGGGAATAAGCACATTCAATCAGCCATGGGTCAGTGTGCAGCTGTTTCCCTCAGCAAGAGCCTCACCTTTGGATTCCTTGAGTCAGAGTGGCTTTCAATGTAGCATGTCCCCTGAGCTCCCAGGGTGGTCTCACTGAAGCCTTTCTCACTAGGCTTGGCATTCTCTTGACAACATCCATCTCCTTCAGCTTCTCTAATACTCTCTTCCTTTTTGAAAAAAATATATTTTATTGATTTTTTACAGAGAGGAAGGGAGAGATATAGAGAATTAGAAACATCGATGAGAGAGAAACATTGATCAGCTGCCTCCTGCACACCCCAAACTGGGGATGTGCCCGCAACCAAGGTACATGCCCTTGATCGGAATCGAACCCGGGACCTTTCAGTCCACAGGCTGACGCTCCATCCACCGAGCCAAACCAGTTAGGGCTCTAATACTCTCTTTCATATCCTCCGTGAGACAGGGAACCAAGGGTTGAAACAATGCCCTTTGCCATAGTATTCATTGGAGTATGAGGGAGTGTTTTCCAGCCCTCAGCCTTGGTCCCTCACCTGAAACTGAGCCAGAGTCCCATGTTAACATATTTATTTACTGTATCTCTTTCCCTTCCACGAGGTACAATTTAAGAAGGCAAGGGTTTTGCTGTTTTGTTTACTGCAGTATTTCCAGGACCTAGAACAGTGCCTGGTGTACTGAAGGCATTCCGTAAATATTTATGGAATGGATTTATCTCCAGAGTCAAGTGTGGTAGAAGCATTTATGAACACAGCTCTAATCCTGTGATGACACCAATCTCTAAAATAGCAAACATCACAGAACAGTTTATTGCATATACCCATCCTCTAGGGACAGAAGGGTACTATAGACCTCAGGATTTTGCCTTTTTAAAGTTGATTGGGATCAGAGGATCATGCGTAACTGAAGAAATAGAATGTCTTATGCTTTTACTTACAATGATAAGCATCTTATTTAAGCATGCACGGTTTGCCCTGCTCTCCAAAATAGAGAGTGCCTATGAAACCTTTCGTCAACTGAAATGGTGTAAAGCAAAGAAGCGATTGCCTGAGGACACATCTTGGTAACGAAGCACAAAATAAATGAAGACAAAGCACAGATGCTCACAGACAATGCACAGCTGCGAGGGCTTAATGCTGAGATGCTGAGCGTAGTTCCTGGGGAAGGAGCTTGGCGGGGCCACTTTCCCTGCTCAGGGCGCACCCTGCAACACAAACACTTTAAGCTACTTTTGCTTCTCACCTTTTATCATAAAAGCAGAATCATTTTCAGATTTCTTTTAGTGAAAACAGGAACTAATGTAGGTCTCTGTAAAAGTGAAGTGTAAAGTGAGCTTTTGAAAGCGGGTCTACCTGTAATACTGTAGAACGAGAATCTTTTGCTG